TGAGAGAGAGAGAGAGAGAGAGAGAGAGAGAGAGAGAGAGAGAGAGAGAGAGAGAGAGAGAGACGGAGAGACGGAGAGATGCTACTGGGTAATAGAGGTTCCTGCGTGCGCTTACAAAATAATCCGACAGTCACCGGTAATTTCGCTTACACGTCAAATTTTCATTTCGGAAAAAGCACGTTTTCTCTATATATATGATCAAGAAAATTGATTAAACGGTCCGGGCCTACATGCTTCTGATATAAAAGTTTACGGAGATTTACAGAACATTTCACCGAGGCTCTCTCCCATCACGCGCTTCTCTAATCACTCTTCTCTAACGAGACTCTGAGGTGAGCTTACGCGCATGCGCTGACAGGAAAAAAACCCAGAAGAACAGAGAAATAACCACGCAGCCGTATGCCGATGTTAGATTCGATCCGCAATTTTTTTTTAAACGTGTTTCAATTGCAACCGGACGTAACGTGTTTCTTCGTCGACATTCCTCACTGGTTCTTTTTTTATTCTTTTTGATTTACGGCCGTTGTTGATTCTTTTTTTTTCCAGCGACACGCAGTCGATGGAGAATTACGTGGACGACAAGCTAATGCAGCTGGAGCATCAGATCGTCATCTTCGCCGACCATCTCCGCATGGAAGGCTGGGCGTTCGGTTTGTGCGGCGAGGACATCGTCATCGTGCTGTCTGTCGACGATGCGCAGGTACGAAACACACCTGTATGTATAGGTAGACTGGGTAGATCGCACAGGTGCACGCACGCACACGCACGCGCGTACTTACAGATACGCACACTCACACACATGCATCTACACGCGCACACGCACCTACATGCACGCACGCACGTACGCACACGCACACGTATACACGCACAGGCGCGCGCGTAAGTACGTAGAACACACGCACGCACGCACGCACGCACGCACGCACGCAAGTAGGCAGATCCACTCAAGAACGTGCGCACACGCACGCACGCACGCACGCACGCACAGAAACGCTCCCACTCGTGCGCACATAGATTGACAAATCATTTCGCGCATCTCAGGCCTATATTGCTGTGCGTTACGTGGCCGCTGGACCTCTGGACCTCTGGACATAATTATATGGCTTTTCGACGCATTTATGAGCCAATTTCGCATAGGGAGCTCGCAGGCCGGTTACTAAATCAGTAATCTGTGTATCTGATGATCGCTCTGCTAATGTCATGTATCGTTCGTTGAGAGCTGTAGATCTATAGACTGCAACCCTAAAAAGTTCTGCGTTCGCTTGTTGGTACGATGAACGAACGTGCTCATCGGGTGAATAACAAATTGCGAGAGAGCTTCGCACTCCGCCGCCGCAAAATTCAGATAACTCGTTAAAATATTATCGGCGCGTTACCGCCTCTAAGGAATCGCAAATTAAGGTCGTTAAAATTTTATCGTGTTTCTCTGCCATCATTTTTTTACGCTACGTAGATAAAAAACTGAGCGCTTCCCTTCGGTCACCCATCTACGCCAATTTATTCTCTGTAATGGGATATTTTTTACGAGCTAGCAATTAGTAAGAGAATGCGCTCATTCATCTTGAAAATATAATAAAACTTAGATATATATTTGAATAATTTGAAATGAAATTACAGCACTTACTGCAGCGCGCGTATACTGTGTGTATCATCAATAACTAATAAGTTATGCATATAATTAGCACAAATGATATATTTACAAACGATCCTCGTAGGATAGCATTAAGTAAAAGCCCGATGGATACATTCGAGCGCATAAATTTATGAAAAGGGTCGCATGTATTATTCAGGACTAGCGCAGCTTCGGAGGATGCGAATTGGATGTGCAGCTATCTAGCTGATGAAGTAGCGGGAAAATGTAGCGTCTGTTCGCCGCGTGAGAACGATCAAAGCGGCTTTACACCTTTTTGCTTTCGCTAAGAATGCTCAGCGTCTGGCGAATTGAATCGTATTTTGCTGAAATTATACTTTCAAAATAGACAGCGGATACTCGAACGGTGGGCTTAAATGTCTATCAGAAGGACTCGCTTTATAAACGATGAGCTGCCTACGCATAGGGTACACGCGACAGAATCCGTCTTGACATAATCTATCTATTGTGCACATGCAATTTCAACGACCTGTGGCAGATACTGACACTTAAATGATTGCGATGGACATTACTTGTGAAACGACTCAAATAATGTAATAATGAATTCTGTCGCCTACAAACTCGATGCATGAGTGTTTTGCAAAAATAGTACGGCGGATTACCACCAGGTGGCTGACAGTTTTTATGCTAAACTTATAAATATCTCATAAAACATTTAATGGGATATCTATGGCCGAACCCTTTTAGCGTTCGTGATTTACTATATGTGTACATGTGTCTATAAGACGCATTCGTATGCGTGTGTCTCTCGCAACCAATGCTCTTGTTATGCTCTCGTAAAAGACAATGCAAACGTTATGTACGCATTCTATTCCAACAACAACAATCTCTCGCATCAAAAACAAAAACGACAACAACGACAACGACAACGACAACGACAACGACAACGACAACGACAACGACAACGACAACGACAACGACGACGACGACGACAAACGAACAACGACAAAACGACAACGACACAACGACAAGACAACGACAACGACAACGACAACGAAACGCCATACGACATCGCGACAACGACGAACGACATACGACAACGACACAACGACAACGACACACGAACAACGAAACGACATCAGGCAACGACAACGACAACGACAAGAAACAACACGACAACGACAACAGACAACGACAACGGACAACGACAATAGACAATCACACGACAACGACACAGACAACGAACAACGACAACGACAACGACAACGACAATCGACAACGACAACGGACAACGACATACGGACATCGACAACGACAACGACGCGACACGCACGACGACGACGACCAACGGACAACGACAACGACAACGACAACGACAACGACAACGACATCGACAACGACAACGACAACGACAACGACAACGACAACGACATCGACAACGACAATGACAACGACAACGACGACGACGACAACAACAACAACAACAACAACAACAACAACAACAACAACAGCAGCACACAGAAGGAGCAGCAAAAAGTTTACACGGGGTCACAACTAGAATAACGGGGTCCCATATCGCTCCGACCAGTTTCTTCTCAGAGAATGTCTTTGAGGATCATCTCGCGGGTACATCTCTACTGTAACTAACTAACGTCTGTGTGCGCGGGATGAGATGCAGAGTTCATTAACGCTGGTTGTCAATCGCCGCTAATGACACATCTACCTACTTCCGCTGATTGCAGATTCAATAACGAGCTTCTCGTTGATCTTGTAGAGAAACAAGTGGCAGATTTTATCTCGTTATTAATCACTTCAAACCATTAGAGGCGTAACGGTAACTCCATTCTCGTGGAATATAGAAGAATATATATATATATATATATATATATATATATATATATATATATGTGTGCGTGCGTGCGTGCGTGCGTGCGTCCGTGCGTGTGTGCCGTACGAACTACATAACAGTCTACCCTTAGCTCCAACTATAACCTTACCCCTTACACTTTACCACTTACCCGTTACCTCTATCCCTTACCTTTAACCCTAACCTCTAACCATAGTTATAACCATAACTCCTAATCCGAATCTTAATTTATAACTGCTATTGCGGATATTACACTTTAGCTCAATTTCCGCGCATGCGCTCTGGTTGTCGTCATCGTCGTTGTCGTCATCCATCTTAGAATCTTTCTCTTCGTCGGCCGTTTGTCGGTTATTTCGTGTAAACAGTTACGCTTCCGTTCAAACAGACGACTACAAAGCCGAGCGCCACCCTGCGCCGGCTGTGCAACTATTGAAACTGTGTTTAATCTATCGATGCGCAGAGCATTATCGAAATCGATTGACGCACCGCGAAACAAAAGCAGCTCGTGGATAAAAAAAAATAGTTGCCCTTTGCAGAGCAGAAAAAAATATCACCGCGATAAACGAACGCACGAAAGGACGGCAGTGAAGTAGAAGAAGCGAGAGAGTAAATGGACGCTGGCGCCGCTGACATTTAAAATCTTTTACTTTCTGCGTGTGTATGCCGCCAAGAAGTCCCGTGCGGCTTTGCGCTGACAAAGGCCCTAGTCCGCGAATTTTCAGGATCGTTCCCTCGACGTAGTAGCGAACTGTATATGTACGAATTTTAGCCATATATCACAGTGACATATAGGATCGGCATCAGATGCTCTAGAGATTCCTTGCCTGTCCATCAACCCGCATTCTCGTGTGCTTGTATTGTTGTCAACGGCCGAACGCAAAATGCAGCATGAGAAAAGCATGACCAGAGACGCTTACGTTTGTTCATCCGCATTATGTCGTCATTGCACGCTACGGTCGCAATGTCCGACGTAATATGTTACGTAACATGATAGCTGTCAAATGTTATCCTTCTCTCATCATGATCTCCTTACTGAAGCGTCTAAATGAACCTAGTTTTTGTCGCCTGAAGCGCGTGAAAATCCTAATTCTAACGCGCTTCAAGGACGTGAATACAGGGTGATACTCCATTAGGAGTGTTCCCAACTTTTATGTCATTAATGGTCATAATAACATATATATATATATATATATATATATATATATATATGGTAATATATTAGTTTGTGGTTTAAAGTCATTTAGGTTAGAGTTAGGGTTAGGGTTCGGGTTAGGGTTAGGGTTAGGGTTAGGATTATCAATCATTAATCATTAATCATTAATGGTATCAAAGTTGGGAACACTCCTAATGGAGCGTTAGCCGCCTACATCAGGATTGCGTGAAGCTCTTTCCATGCATAAAACTCGCGATAGAGCTGCAGCTACTAGCTCCTTCATCACGTAGAAAGACTGCAACCTCTCTCATTATCATACGGCTGTTTCCGCTGGGAGTGAGTGTATAGGATCATATATCACAAGACTCTGATTACGCTAGAAGTTGACAGACCACGGCCACGAGCCCGTATATATCGACATTTACCTTCGCGTATAGCTGAGAGCCGAATGCAATCTCGTGCAATTGAAGATAAATGACGAGTCTTTGACAAGTGAACCGATTTGAACAAACTCGATGCGGACGAATACGTCAGAAAAGGTCAGAAGAGGTCAGAAGAGGTCATAAAACGAGTGAATCCTCTACTGTGTTTTGCGCCCGCGTATTCGTTTTTAATTGCAGTCACACGACTAGCGTCGATTTTATAGTATAGGCAAAGCAATGAGCAAAATGCCGATATAAAGGTTCGATCGATGATAGCGTGTATCCTAGATTTACCAGAAACTATACATCGTGGGGTAACACTGTATGACGATATGATCATCGTATAGTAGTATAATAGTACCGACTGTACATTCGTTGTTAGTTGTTGAGAAGTAGCTAGCGTAAAGTATCTGTCCGTCCTTTGTACGTCGTATATACCGCTTATACCAGCCCTACGGGCATGTTCGCACATATACGTGTATATATTACAGTTTTATTTTATGATAAATCCACACAATCAACCTCTTAGCAACAGTTTCGACAACGGGTCTAGCTGTTTCTGTCAAGCTGAATGAAATTGCTTGGGCTCGCTACCAGCGCAGTTGTCGAAGCTCTTGCTGCTAGCTTAATTACGCGGATTTATCATAAGATAAAATCATCAGGAAATCCGATGAAGTTTCTGCAAGAGACTTGAGGGAGACGCATTCCTATTTCAGCCGCCGTCTTTCTCTTAAACAAAACGGAAATCTCTCCCTCGTCCGCTCGCTCCCCGATAATTCGACTCGATGTTCACTTGTTTTTCCTAGTCCCCGATAATTCGGCTACACGTTCACTTGTTTTTGCCCCTCCCAGTTCCCGATAATTCGACTCGACGTTCACTTGTTTTTGCCCCTACTCGCGCCCTGATACTACGACTTCACGTTCACTTGTTTTTGCCCGTCCTTGTCTTCAAACGTACGACTCCACGTTCACTTGTTTTTGCCCCTCCTCGTCCCCGACTCGACGTTCACTTGTTTTTGCCCGTCCTTGTCTTTAAAACCACGTCTCCACGTTTACTTGTTTTTGCCCCTCCTCGCTCCCCCGACACTACGACTCCACGTTCACTTGTTTTCTTTTTTTTCGCAGCTGCACACATCCGTCGGGCAGAGGTCGCGTCGTCTGCTCAGCAAAGCTAAAATCGACGATGTCTTCAAGCTGACGAAGCGCTACTTCCAGGAGAAGAAGTACGCGCTCGGTCTCCTCATCACCGTCGAAAAATACCGCGAGATTCTGACTGGAAAGTACGTGAGTCCGCAGGAGTCCGAAGAGACGAACATTACGATGGGTCTCTACATCGGTCTGATGTCGATCGTCGTCATGATCGCCGTCATCATCTGCGTCGTCTGCATAAAGTCGATCGGCGAGAAGTTCAAGCCGAAGCGACGCGGACTGGAGACGGCGGCAAGCGGCATGTCGGCAGCGGCGACGCCGGCGATGATGTGGGCGGGCGCCGGAGGTGCCGGCGGCGGCGGCGGCGGCGGCAGTCAGTTGTGACCACGTCCAGCCGCGGTCCGCTACGTGCGACAGTATCTGTTGAACAGGCAGGCGTATGCGGGTGGTGCAGCAGTAGTAGTAGTATAGTAGGAGGTGGTGAGGGTGGTGGTGGTGGTGGATGCCCGCACGGTCAGCCTGCGTTCGCAAGCAGCGGACTGGAGGACAGCGATGATGGTGTGAGGGCGCGCCGACGTCAGGGAGTCGTCGGCCCGTGCGCAGGATGAAGCGTGCGCGCTCATGTTGACCCACGCTGACCCGTGACGTCGTGATACGCTGCAAAGTGCGGTCTATATAAAGTGCGGTATAAGCAGACACACGGAAACAACACATACACGGACACATACACGGATACACGCACGCACGGACGTACGCACAAAACACAACGCACACGCGTGCACAACACTTACACAGACACAGACAGAAAAGATACACGGACACAACACATACACGGATATACGCACGCACACAACACGCACGCACACACACACGCACGGGCACGCACAGTTATAAAACAAACTCGGACCTTTTTTCGAGTTTTTCGAAGGGCGACGATTCTCTCCTTTGCTGGTCACCTATATATAGTTTTGTTCGCGACGGAGTATCGTTTAACTGGCAATAATAAGGAGAATGATTTCTCGAGTGCCCATATAGCGAAAGAACAAAATTGAGTTGAAAGAAAGACACGTATATGTATATATGAGGGTTTGATGCATTCGCACCTCATTAAAACTCAACGTTGGATGAGTGAGAGATGCGGTTGCTAGGTGATAGCAGTGCCACTCACATTATAGTTGTATTTTTATCTGCTTGTTTTCGCCGACGTTTTGCATGTCAGCCTCGTAAGCTCGTGGGTACACATGTAAGCGTGTTATATGGAATTGATGCTGGCCTTATTCACTAGATGTCAGCACGGTATCATTTTTAGCTAGTGTCATGTCGCATATTTTACACGCGACAATGAACACTGTTACCAATATCATGTAAGAAGTCACGTAAAGAATGAAGAGGTTTTCTCACTCTGCAGGCGTCATCACGGCTAATGCACTCGTTATTGTCCTGTAATATAAAACGAACGTGCCGCAGGCTATTCTGTCTGCTAAAGCATGCGGCAAGCTCAAAGCAATACGCGAGTCGAACATGAGATTTCTACATTGCTAGTTAAAATATTAATAGTGATGATGAGATAAAAAATAATGCATTTGTTAGCAAACCCGGCTGGAGTGGAAGTAAATTCATTGTTTAAACTCGAAATTAGCAAGGGAAATCATGCGAGTTTTACTTTGATTAAAACATGATAGATCGTCATATACGGATCCCACTGAAACATTGATCGCAATGGAATGAGAGTTGCGAGTGGGGTTAATGTCAAAAACCATTTTATATGGCTACACACACACACACACACACACACACACACACACACACACACACACACACACACACACACACACACACACACACACACACACACACACACACACACACACACACACACACACACACACTA